TTAGCTTCTATAATATAATATTGTACACAAATGCCCAATGCCGGATCCTGGAAGTTGAATCCTTTGCTTATAGTTTTCTTCTGCTACAAGGCTTGCTGCAGCCAAACTTCTGCTACATGCAGTAAACATTCGCGGTAGCGGAAATGTCGGCCATCATGCAGTTGTTGACTGGATAGTATTAAGTGCAATGCTTGAATCTGCAGATTCACAGCGAACAGCAAAAATCATCAAAACTTGGATGTTGTGGTTTGAAAAATGCCGAGTTGGGTGGGTTTTTTTAACGGAGAAGTCGATAGACTGAGCATTAATTGGTTACATTCAGTGACTCTGATGACGAAGCAACATTTCTTGCAAGTCTAGCAAGGGTTCTCCTCAAGAAAGACAAACTATTTGCATCCTTTTTCACTTCTGAGGATATGAAAAAGCTGAGGAGGTAATAGTATAATTTAGTGTAGTTTGTGATAGATAATTTTATCCATATTCAATAGTAATGTCTAAACTATTTACTTTGAAAAACTTTTCAGATATCTGATCCTTGCTTTTGTACTTCTATCTGAACTAGAACGTGGTTCCAAATTTTTTGAGGGTGCTATGCTTTTTGTAGTGAGAACAATAACAGAAGAAGAAAAAGCAAGTTTTCTAATCCATGTATTTGCAACATATATTGTTTGTTTTTATTCATGTATTTTTTGATTCTGATTTAGCTTTTTGAATTCTGTCTTGATGAACTACCTCTGCATCTTCGTGGTAGGTACGGGATAATGAACATTTTTTTGAGAGACCACTTTACCGAATATAAGGTGATAAGCAATAATTTTTCTCTTTTTGTTCGTTCTTTATTTTTTAATCATATACTCAGATGGACTCTATTCTCAAGAATATCTGCAAACAGTTGACTGATTCTTTGAGCAGTCAACTGATTACTAATGCGGCAGCCGATCTGGTAGCATCTCTTGTGGCACGATTCCCAACATCATCTGATATATTGTCCCTTTTTGTAGAAAATCTTATGCAACACGTAAAGTATGTAGTGCTTCTCAAACTGCTTATAGCTGAGGGTATTTATCGATATTTTAGATGTATACGCTGGAATATCTTACGATGGTTTGGTCGAATAGATATTTCAAAGGAAGGCTGCCAGTTTCTTTTTAGAGTAAGAGATTTGCTGCGCGAAAAGTTTGCGAAAGTTGATGAAGATCTTTGGCCTCCTCTTCTTTTTGAAATCGAGGTATCTTATGCTGCTCTATCCCATCAGAGATAGACATTTATCACCGCGTATCGATCACCAGGATGTTTCTTGTATTGATCCTCTTTGGAACTGTAATGAATCAGAGGAACTGCTGTGGGAAGCTGATCGAGCTTTAGACGCTTACCTTAAAGTATCCAACACTCTGCAACAACGATTTCACCAAGAGATTGACAAAAGTGATCCAGTATGTTTCCTTTTCTTTCTCTGTCCTTTATTTCTAATTCAGAGAGAACTTTATGTCCCAGCTCTGATCCATTCATACTTTTATTTGGTGAATTTTGCTTCATTATTTGTTCCCATCGTTCTCATTTAGATCGTCAATCCTGTGGTGTGCTAGCTTACTTAAATATTGCTAAGAGCAAGTTTCATCTGCTTCTGCAGCCAGGTTATTGGCAGGGCTGTAAGAACAATTGAATGCAGGTCTTATATTGAAGGGGAGAAGAACTTAGGTACCCGTTGGATGTGCCGCCGCATATCCATGGGAGATCAGCTGTCAGGAGTCTCGCTGCGCACTGATAAGTACCGTAAGCGGAACCTGCGCT